AATGAAGATGAATAAAAACATGAATTTGGATCCTCTTGATGAATTAAAATATGAATTTAGATCCATTCCACCGTCACCAAGGCGACAGAGAGAGCAAATTGTGATTGAGGAAGTGGTCTTTTTTTTTTTACTACTGTGGAGAGGATATGAAACCTTAACAAATATAATTTGGTTGCTAATAATGACCACAATCGAAATATTCAGCGATCTTTCTCAAAGTTTTCTTTTCCCAGCAGTTCTTCACTGTACCCACTGACATTTAAGATGCACAATGACATGCAGGGTTTTTAGATATTAGTCCCTTAACATCTTCAAAAAATTGCATACTAGCCCCACAAATCTTGAAAATTGCATATTAGTCTCTCAAATCCGGTAGGACCTTGCAAAATGGCAATTCAATTAAAATCACGTTTGATTTGTGGCAGTATTCCGTCAAATCTAATGGCTATGAGTCAGAATGACCATTTTACCCCTCTACTATATTATTCAACACCCACTCAAAAAAGGGAAATTTTGCAAAATAGACCGTTTTTATGAAATATATAGCGAAATAGACCACTTTGGTAAAAAATTAGCAAAATAGACATCTTTTTTGCCAATAGGCCAAAAAGAGGTCGATTTTGAAAAAGTGGGTTCAGAAAACATACGGGACTAGTAGTCCCGTATGTTTAAAGCTAACTAATCCAACGGTTATCGAGCTTAGAAAATATACGGGACTACTAGTCCCGTATATCTTCTGTTCTCTAGCAAAACGTACGGGACTACTAGTCCCGTACGTTTTGCAGAGCCACTTAACCTCTGCCCAGCAATTCCACGGGGCTACTAGTCCCGTGGATTTGCTGGGCAGAAGGGCAACATGCACCAAACAAATACATATAAATTTATGGAAAAATTAACTAAACAATACATAATTATATTTTTTCCAGACATTTTCCTAGACCATAATTATATATTTCTTCTAGATATACAACATTAACTAAACAATACATATAAATTTATGGAAAAATTAAAAGTTATGGAAAAATTAACTAAACAATACATAATTATATTTTTTTCCAGACATTTTCCTAGACCATAATTATATATTTCTTCTAGTTATACAACATTAACTAAACAATACATATAAATTTATGGAAAATTTAACTAAACAATACATAATTATATTTTTTTCCAGACATTTTCCTAGACCATAGTTATATATTTCTTCTAGATATACAACATTAACTAAACAATACATATAAATTTATGGAAAAATTAAAATTTGTACCTTGATTAAATTTTAGATCTCCTCGGCCTCGTAGAGAATAGACGGCGTCGGCGTCAGATTTGAGGGAGGAAGAGGTGAGTTGGGTTTTGGGGAGAGAGATTGGGATTGTTGAGTCGGATTTGGGATAGATGGAGATCGGGTTTGGGACATTGATCGGCTTGGGAGAGAGTGAGAGCTCGAGAAAGAGAGAGGGGGAGATCTGGAGTTGGAGCTCAGGAGAGAGGGAGATGATCGAGAGTTGGTGCTCGGGAGAGAGAGAGGGAGATGGCGAGAGAAAGAAGCGAAGGGGGAAAATGTGCCCTATTTTGAGTTATATATATAGCCTGCAATTCTACGGGACTAGTAGTCCCGTAGAGCTCATTTGTTTCACGACAAATCCACGGGACTAGTAGTCCCGTGGATTTGCTGGGCACACGATGAGTGGCTCTGCAAAACGTACGGGACTAGTAGTCCCGTACGTTTTGCTAATGAATAGAAAATATACGGGACTAATAGTCCCGTATATTTTCTAAGCTCGATAACCGTTGGATTAGTTAGCTTTAAACATACGAGACTACTAGTCCCGTATGTTTTCTGAACCCACTTTTTCAAAATCGACCTCTTTTTGGCCTATTGGCCAAAAAGAGGTCTATTTTGCTAATTTTTTTTACCAAAGTGGTCTATTTCGCTATATATTTCATAAAAACGGTCTATTTTGCAAAATTTCTCCTCAAAAAATTCCAAATCCACTCGAGTCCCTCTTCTCCAATGGTTGGAAAAAAAATTCTAACCCAAATTTGAGCTTCACATAGGTTTGAAACAACGAGAGAGTGATAGTGTGATAATTGCAAATGTTGGGTTAGAAGTTAATCCGGTCATGATTAGAAATTTTTTAACTGAAATACTAACAAAGAGACCATTTCATTTTTGCAAGACCCTATAGAACTTGAGGGAGCAATACGCAATTTTTAAGATTGAAGGAGTAACAAGATTTAAGAGACTAATACCTGAAAACCCTGACATGTAATGATGATGGATAGCAATTATTGCAGCCCCACAAGCAGTAGAAAAATAACTTCATTTTAGCTATCGTAGGCATGTTAGCAATTTTCTTTAACATATTCTCTGATGGCTTCTCAACAAAAAAGCAACACCACGTGAACATATAACAAATCTGAAGACTTGGCCCCTCGAGGTAGGAATATTCAGCAAAGCTTTCAGCTATGCCTGTGGAAAGCACTATACTTCAAAATCTACCCTGCTTTCTTTCCACTCCTCACGTAGATCATCTGTTTGGCATAGCAAAACGTCAACATAGCAATATCTAGGAGGAAGTAAAATATTACTTACCCAATATACACATTAAGCGAATTAATGGAAATTTCAAAGAACATGAAGAAGTTAAGAAACCTGTATTTCATGACCACAACTGTCGACTACATGCGATCATCACAGGCATAAGTCGACTTATAATATTCCCCTCGAATTGTGGAGAAGAACTTGGAAAAAGCAGATTTTTGGTCATAAGTCGACTCATGCACAGGCATAAGTCGACTTATGGTAAGTCGACTTATGTTTGTGTCGTAAGTCGACTTACGATCTGCTGTGGATTGTTGATTTTGGGCTCTGGCAAGTCGACTTATCAGGTCTGACAAGTCGACTTATGATCTCTTCTCCAGTTGTCGTTTTTCGCTCTGCCAAGTCGACTTATGCAGACTGATAAGTCGACTTACGACGGGTTTTTTAGAAAGTTCAGGTTCCTATTTGCAGTCTGTTTGGGTTTCTGTTTTGGTATAAATACCAATACGATTTGAGGGCTTTGATTGGAGATTGGTTTAGGGATATTAGAGCACAGAAAAAGGAGAGTTTTTCTGAGCAATTGTTTGAGGGTTTATTTGGAGAGATTAAGAGATTTGTTGGTGAGATTAGTTGATTGGTTTGAGCGTTTTGTGATCTCAGTTTGTACTCTTCTTCTCTATTAGTGAAAACCTAATCCCCTTTTTGCCCCGTGGACGTAGGCAATTTGCCGAACCACGTAAAACTATTGTGTTTGGATTTGTGCCGTTGTTTTGATTTGTTTGGCCTTTATCTCGACGATTGTTATATTTGGTTCTCGAAGCACGCCCGTTTGGTTGTCACGCTTCCGCGCCGCGCACAACACGAATCTAACACAATTTAACTTGAATTACCATTTTAGTAGACCATATACGATTTAAGGGCCTAATATGCAATTATTGAAGATATAAGGGACTAATATCTAAAAAGCCATAACAGGTAATGGTCATTGTTAGCAATTATTGCAGCCCCACAGGAAGCAGAAATAATTTCATTTAACTATAACAAGAAGGATCCATCTCCAGAACTCCCAGAAGATCTCGACTTCAAAGAAGAGGAGAGCTGGAAAATCAGAAGAACAAAGCCAAGACTCGGACTCCAAGGATTTAGGATCCGATGCCTCTTTTGATGTCAATCCGTTGACGGGGTTTCCTGAAAGACAAACCCCTCATAGTTAAGTTAAGGGTGGTTTTCTAAAATTAACCGACCAAGTTTTTCTCTTTAATTTCTACATTTTAAATATTAACCCGATTATGAGATTTTTTTTAATTATAAATAGTTATAATCTGATAAGAATTATAAAATGATTAGATATCCATACGTCATATTTTGATATGATAGAGGGATACCTTGATCCTTATGATACACGCCACATTTTTGTACATTTATAATACAACACATGCTAATTTTTTTTATACATTTAGGAGCTCCACCAATTTCTCGAAGGGATACGCATGTTAGCCATCTTCTGTGACAAAATTCTCTGGTGTTTTCTCAACAAAAGCAGCAGCCCGTGAACATACAACAAATCTAAAGACTTGGCCCTCAAGGCAGGAATATTCAGCTATGTCCGCGGAAAGCAGTATACTTCAAAAGCTATACCCTGCTTTCTTTCCACTTCATAGGTAAATCATGTGCTTGACATAGCAAAATGTCAATAAAGCAATATATCGGAGGAAATAAAATATTGCTAACCCGATATACACACATTAGGGCCTGTTTGGTTATTTCCTAAAAAACCAAAAAATAGAAATGAAAACCAAGAAATCTCAAAAAGTACAATTTCACACATTTCCATCCCTAAAACTCACCCACAACATCTAATAAAATATTATTTTTATCCAACAACTCATCCACCACATTTAATAAAATATTATTTTCATCCAGGAACTCATCCATCACATCCACCATATCTAATAAAATATTATTTTCATCCACAACATCACTCAACTCATCTCATCTCATATTTAAAAATCACACACATCATCCAATAAGATTGTGACAACTCATCTCATCTCATTAACATTTCATTTCTTTGTTTTCCTCCCAAAAAGCTAGGAAAATAATTTCCTTAAGTGTGGGTCACATCATCCAATAATATAATGACAACTCATCTCATCTTATTTATTTTCTTATTTTTAAGAAATAACCAAACAAAAAAAAACAACCTAATACAAGAAATATGTATCTTATAATTCATTTTCTTATTTTTTCCGCCAACCAAACAACATCAAAACAAGTTTTCTTAAAAAATCACTCACATCATCCTATAATAAGGTGACAACTCATCTCGTCTCATCTTTATTTCTTTGGTTTCCTTCTTTTTTAAGCCAACCAAACAATCCCAAAACCTATTTTTCTTAGAAATAGCTTTCATTTTCTTTGATTTCCCTCTTTTTTCAGGCAAACAAACAGCCCCTTAAGCGAAATAACGGAAACTTTGAAGAGCTTAAAAGAAGTTAAGAAACCTGTATTTCACGACTACAACAGCTGTCATCTACATGTAATCATCACAATTAGGGAAAGTGAAAAAAGAAACAGATATAAAAGGAGGATTAAATCCCAGAAATATTTGAGAGGAAACCAGACACAACAATGATTTCCCTGAGTGACTGGTAGAAGAGTGGAAGCATCAAGCACCAACATTGCCAAGCCAAAACAACAAGGGGAACTGAACTACCGCCATGATAATCAGGAGATAATGATGCCTGCTCGAGTGCTTCTCATAGCTCCTCGGTCCTCCTAAGACAACCCTTTTCATGGTCTTCACTAAGAACACCCCCAAGCAGAAGCACATCCATGGAAGAAGAAAATAATACGAGTAGCTCCAGAAAATCCTTGCAAAAATAGCAAGGGAGACGCCGGTAAAGGCATAGCCAGAGTAAGCCACGATGTCTAGAAGTGGTGCCTCGCCGCTGCCCATGGAGTATAGAAGCCCTTTTAGGAGTAGGACTTGCAAGAACCAACCTAATAATCCTTTGGTAAACTGCAAGCTCAAAGCTTCTGGCGTAAACCTGAATTGAACGAATCATAGAGTTTAAAAAACTTAAAATATATCCTGCTAATCCTTCAAAATGTTAGAAGTTTGCATTAATAGTTTAATACTCTCAGATATATGTATGATTTACTAGTTAAAGTAAAAAATTAATGATAAAAATTTGAACTATCTCGTCTTCCAGGAGGTTCAAACAAGTAATTTCTGTACACCACAACAAGAAGGAAGCATCTCTAAGCAACTTAAGAAAAAAGTTGATAGTGTAACACAAGATTTCAATGGTGAAAATGAGAATTAAGGATTCATGAAATGGAAAACAAAACCCAACGATAAGGTCACTGTGAATTAAATAAAATGACGATGATCTGAGCAAAAAACCTCAAAAAAGGTAATTTTTTCTTGAATTCTTCTACTAGAAATGCATGCTGATGAATGAATAATGTCGTGTAACAATTTCAGGTTAGTTGGCTTAAAAGCCAAGTTAAGCTTTTGTTTATCAATTAATGGAGAGATAAGCCTATGATGCGGGTTTGGTATTACCGAAAATTTGGAAGCATTCGATTGTTGGGATTCCAAAGTCTTAGCAATAGGGGTTGAACTTTGACCTTGCCATGAGGTATAGAAGTTTATAAATGAGAGTATACGAAATTCTTAAGATTTTGAAGGGTAAAGCTGTAAATTGAGTACTGGGGTAACTACCTAAAATATACCAAAAAATTATATCTTGAGGAATACAACCATAAATGCCATAACATTGCGTACAGAAAAGGAAAGGAAAAATTGCTTAAGTAGGCCTATCATACCTTCCAAAAATACCTAATAACAACCCTGCAAGAACGATATAGGTACCAAATGCCATAAAAGGGATGTACAAGTCTGGAGCATTTATGTCATGTATAGGAGGTTTGTAGGAGAGCCTCCCTCCGACCGGTTCAGTTATCCTTGTCCAGTGTCCCTGCATTAGATCAATGAAAATGAGTGGGATTCTGATATTAACATGGGAAGATAAATAGAAAAGAAAAGGATACTTACTCTGTGTAGAAATGGGAACAAAATCACTTTCAGTTTGTTCCTCACATACTGGCCATTCACTTGGAAATAGTACTGTGGATCAGACAGGTACTGACTGATCTGTTTACAGAAAACAGTTAAGGTAAGTTAGGTAACAATTACTAGCTTCTTTTTAAGATAAATACATCTTTTTAGTACTTTTTAGAGCGCAAAAGAAAAGTAATGCTAAACGATGAAAATACTACTAGAATGCCTAACATGTTATAAACAAACAGGATATAATATGGAACAGGACCCAAAAGTAGAGATAAGAACTGGCCAACCATTTATCTCCAATTGTTTATCTTACAACCAGGGACGAGTCCACAATTGTTAGGTTAAGGAGGGGCAGTGCTACGATGAGCAAACAAAGTCAAACTTACTAACAATTAAATCATCTTCCTTTTTATCGATTTCAAAAAGATTGTCCTCCATAAAGTTAGTGTACGAAGGCTATAACATAACTCGCTTCAAATATCCTAACAAGTTAAGAAAACTCAATTTAAAAGCTCTCTTGAATATTCTTACATCATTATCATTGCTATTATGGTTTTTATTGAAAAAAGGACATAAAAGTATAATATTTGTATGAGCTTTTTTTTTAATATAAAAAAACATGTTAGCAAAAGCATATCTAAACAAAATCACGCGGAGTCAGTCTGAGATGATGTTTTCCTGGTTTCAACATTTACCAATTAGCCATGAATTGAATGAATAAGTATAACTACCAGAATTTCTTTAATTTTTCACAGTTAATTTTAACTAGTAATATAGCCTTTACTTCATATGCACACAAAGTAAATTACAAAACCAAACTCGTCCCTGGTTACAATTCCCCTGGGGTGGATGAAAATGTGTAATCAAAGTAACAAGTGCAAGAGGGCACCACATCAATAACCTTGATGGTCACTAGGCTGGTAGAAGAGCCAAACAATTTTCAATGGTGCAGTTTTTAAGTTCATGCAACCAGAGAGCAAGCCTCAAAATTCTCTAAACTTGGGAAAGTTGCTAGGGAGGTAAAATTATATGATTTGCATGGAAGCAGCTTCATCTCCAATAAATAGAAGCCAAAGAGCCAAGTTGACTCACGTTGCATAAACAATGAGAAACTATAAGAAAGAACTCAGTAAATTACATTGCTTTGCATGAACTCAGAGCTTGATCCCAAGAATTTCTCGCCATATGCTCCCAGCCCACCACGTATGAGTCCAGAACTAGCTCCATAGAAAGCATTTCCAAATGGATTAGATTGAGGGATTGATGGTGGTATATTCACTCCTGAATGGCTACCCATATTTCTTTCCATAGCTCAGTATAAGAAATATGGAGTCAAATCCCTCAGTATGAAATATAACCTGCATGCAAATGAAGCACTTCTATTAGGAATTCATCTGAAAATTAGATCAAGATTAGTGGGAAACAGCAGGTGATATCTGCATCAACTCTTTCAGACTAAAGTAAACAGCCAGTTGAAGATTATTTATTTATTTACTTATTTGTTAATTTTTTGAGTGTGCATATGCTTGTGAATTTGGAATATAAGTCGATTTCTCTACTCCTCCCCAGCTCAGACATAAGTAAAGGATGTCATCTGATCAGCAATATTTTCTCTCTCAAATGCCAAACCGAAAGCTCCTTGGCTCAAGTCACTTACAAATCCGTCTAAAGTTTCTATTCCGCGCGGATGAAATTGTATATGGTATTGTTTAAAGTTTCAGTATTAGACATCATTAATAGCAATGTTATATATCACTTTTTAGTGTTCGTAAATAATAGTAATTTTCCAGAAATGGGTAAACATTATCAAACAAATACAACTATACAAGAAGTAACAAGCAACATTCACAAAAGTTCCACAGCAGTTTGAAAACTGTACCAACACTTTGGTGCCAAATTCTCACACTTACAAGAAGACATAGAATTAAAGTAAATCCATCACGCACAAAAGAAAGACAATAATAGAATTAAAAATTACAATTCTAATTACTTCCGGTTGACCTAGGAAACCACCTCATTCAACTAAATTAACATCACATGATACTAGAAATTTCCTTCTGAAAGGTATTATCAGTGGCAGACCCAGAAATTCTGGGAAGGGGGCCCCAAAAAATTTAATAGTTAAACATGATAATTTTGTTTATATGAACACTGCAACCCTGTGATAAAATGATCATGAAATAAAAGCTACAAAGGATATTATTTAAGGAAAATAAAAAGAAAGGAACAAAGGGACAAAAGAGAGATTATTCTTTATAAAGAATAGTAACGTTAGTAATTTTTTGCTCCCATGATCATACTAGCCACTTAGATGAAATTTTACTCGTGCGATTCCTCTTCCTCTTCATTTTGGTGCATGAGATGGGATCAAAAGGGTACTACAAATTAATTCAAGACCACACAAGGTAAGTTTTTTCCCCTTTCCAGTGAACAGAATTTCTTTATGTATGTAACCTATACACACACACATGTATAAAAGTTCATCTACTCAAGAAAAATGCTCTTACAAAAACATGGGAACCAGATCTTCATAAAAAACAAAGCTTCATCTAAATAATCAAGAAGACTATTGCTTCTAAATTTTAAAATGCACTACTAACTAACACCCAAGAAATGAGCCTATGGTTAAACTACTAGTTGATACCTTCTCGTTTTGATTATGGGCCAAGGTGTAACCAAGGCCCTCTTGGCGCCCACCTAGGTCCGCCACTGGGTATTCTGAAACTTCTCAGGTCCTTGCGACGGTAACATAGCATGAATCCTCATAGGTTGTACAGCTCGTACATGTGCATAACTCTCTACTCATAGTTTCAATCGTTAGTGTATATACTATTGGGGAATTTCACTCTCCCCGCCTACTACAATATGCGCAACTCCGAAGCTAACCCACAATCAACAAGATATAAAACGACCACAATCAAGAAAAAAAGAACACCGGGATTTACGTGGCTCGGTCGACCAACTTCGACCTACATCCACGGGGGAACAATAAGAAAAATTCACTATGTATCAGGGAGAACTACAAGAGGAACCACTCAACTCTCGTCTCTCAATCCCTCAACCTCACATACATAATCTTTTGCACGGATAAAGATCACGAAACCCTCGCCTCTCGTACAGTATTCTTGACTCAGGCTACGCTCTCTGCTAACCCTAGATTACAAGAATATTGGCTCTCTCTCCCTACTACATCTTCTCTTTACTCTATTCTGCTTAGTTTTTCCTCCAACAGTACAAGAATATATATAGGGACCAAAACCCTATCTCTAGCCTAACTTCCTAATTAGAACAGGATTCAAACTCTTAATCATAATGGAACTCAAACTCCTAATCACGATAGATCTCTAACTCTATCTAATTCTCATGAAGTTCTACAAAGAATCAAAGACACAATCCCAACATATACTCACTTACTGTTCTTAATAACAGGCTAACATTCTGAAGTAGTTGTCAGTTAAACCCCTACTCTCCAACAAGTTATAGTTCAAATTCAGACATTTACTCTAGATTACAGACAGCATGAAATCCACCATTGCATTCTTCACGATCAAAGGTCTGAATCTAATCACATTACTCTCTGAAAAAACTCCAAATTTCCGAAGATACTAACACAAACTATAATAAAGCTTGCAAAAAGAACAAAATTTTAAGCGTTTTACCATCTAGATCTTCACCCTAAAATTTCAATCTAACAACTTAACAAATATCATGTTCAAATTATCCCGCTGCCAAAATAAGGGCATTTAACTTACCAACAAACTGCCATTTGTGCATCAAATTTAACAAAATTTTCTGTCACTTTCTCAAATAAATACTAGATGTCAGTAAATACATTCGTACTAGCTAGGGCAAATTTCAGTGGGGGATGCGGTCACCGCCGGTAAGATTAGGGTGAGGGAAGGGGAAGCGAACGCGTACCTGTCGAAGAGCGGGGGCTCGCGACGGAGACGGAGGGCGGTGACCGGACAGAGATCTGAGGGGTTGGGAAAAGTTGAGGAAGAAACTTCAGGAGAGAGTTTTTAATTGGATTTTGATTTGGAAAAGAATCGAGAGAGAGCAACGGGAGGCTATAGTAGATCTGCAAGGGGGTGGCACCTGTGTGTGATTTGCGCAGAAGTCCTTCACAATTGGAAATTACAGATTTCATTTGAAAAGTCTTTTAACTTATGGCATGGATTTTACATAACAATCTTAGTTGTTTATTTGCCTAAAAAATATGACCAGCGCTAGTTTATCTCCGAATTACAGTCAATACCATTTTTTTTTTTTTGGTAATGGAGGTATCATTGTTAGACCATCTCCAATGGCAAGGCAAATATTGCCTTTCTCTCTCCTTCCACCTCACTTTATTCTCCCTCCACATCACTTGCCTTTTTCAATTGCCTTTCAACTTCACAACAACTAGTTTTTCAAAAAGTTTTTTTACTTTATCTTTCCTCCACATCACTCAACTATGATAACTAAGCAAAAATTTAAATTTTTTTTGGTGTCCAAAGAATACAAACTTAATCTCTATTTATAGATCTTGAAAAATAATAAATAGTGGTGAAAAAATAAAAAATTAATTTCAAATAATTATTGATCAAAAAAGTCATTTAAAAACAAAGTGAGAATAATTATAAAAAGTTTATGACATGTGGGGCCCATTTTGAAAGTTAACAGGAAGGCAAATTTTGCCTTTCTCCTCACTTTCTCTCCCCTCCTTTTCAAATGCCTTCCTACTTGCCTTGCCATTGCATCAAAAAATTGTTGAGATTGTTGGCCATTGGAGATGGTCTTAGGGGCAATTCTATGCTCGAGGGAGAATTGGAGTTTGAGCTTCTCGCACCACCTAGGAGGACTCGAACCTTTCAAGAAATTTTTTGAAAATGGGAACTCACATTAAACTTATCCGATTTCAAGAACGTCAGCAAATCCATAATTTAAGGATTAGAATTATCGTAACAGAATGAAAAATATGTATTAGGATATTTCAGATATGGATCTGGATATTTCACTGCAAAATCATAATCGTAACTATATCCTATCAATTATAGATTTGAGTAACCATATTCACATCCTAACGGATACGACTATGGATATTTCCTCGGGCACGGATACGGTCTAGCACCCCTATCAGCATGGTATTTGAACCTAAAATTGTTGAGTAGAGAGCATACCACACTTCGAGATGTCTACTTTGGTAGCTAAAACTATGCTTATTTTGGTGATTTTAACTTATAATAATCTTTTAAGCACGATGTTACTGAATATATTAACTACTTTAGAAGCAACCTATTACATATGATTACTAAACGACTATTTTCACTATCCTACGCAAATTGCTTCTATAATGTGCTCATGTAAGCAAGGTATCATAAGCTCTACCCACCACAGGTAAGGTAAGTGGTTTGGGGATGCAGTGGTAATACTGTCAACACTCCATGGTCCCTGGTTCAATCATATCTACCTAACTTGGAGTGTGGGAATGAGAGGTGAGACCCACACAAATTACTTTGTAGGGGTTGTAGATCAAACTCGGTTTTGGGCTTGGGAATCCTCATGACTTGCCAAGATTTTTTTCATATCCTAAAAAAATTATCATAAGTTTTAGGAATACTAGACTAGCCCTTAAAAGCGCTTTTTTATAATGTTATTAAATGGTTAGTTAAGATAAACAGGCTTATAAGTTACATGACCAAAGAAAAGATCTTCTAAAGACCTTTGAATAAAACTCATATCTGATCCGTTCGTGATTTATAAATGAATTTGGATCTTATACACTAAAAAAAGTAGTAAAAGAACCACAACTTTTAATCATAGCAGTGGATTCTGTAATGGGTGATTATGATTCATACTAAATCCAACACTTATCATATCCATATGTATTATACTCATTCATAATTTGCACGAAATCAGGATCATCTACTAGCTGGTTACTGATTCTAATAAAGTAGTTGTCCCTTCACTATTTTCTTGTAGTGAAAACGTTCCAAATCCTTTAGAAATACTTAAGTTAAACATCCTCTTAATTTAAGTTTTAGATTAGATAGTTTTAGGTTTGTATTTCTTTCAAAGAAAAGTTTTTTAATGTGTATTATATGTTTAGTTTGAGTTTATTAAATAATTTTCCTTCCAAAACTTTCATATTTCGAAAGTAGTCTCCAAAATTATTAGATTTTAAAACAGTCTCCGTAATATCATTTAAGTGTTTTGAAATTAGTCTCTCTCATTAACAATTGATTGAAGTTAACGGAATATTCCGTCATCTCTAAGCTTTCATGGGTCCAATACCAGTTATACTCTTATGCATTCAATTTTTTTACGATTAATTAAGGCGTTGAATTTTGGGAAAATTATTTTCGCTCTCTCATAAACTAAAGCTGGTGGAAAATTTTATTTCACGATGGCATTTTGATAATTAGCAGTCTATGGTTAACAATTAGCCTAACTATGGTTAACAATTTAGAGGACAAAACACTTAAAATTTTAGAGGGCTAATTTGAGAATATGAAAGATTGGTGTACTAATAGGTAACAAACCTTTTAGTTTAATATAGGGTTTTTACACCAGAACCGTCATTACTGTTAATCAAATTGATACTTACCACCTTTATATTTTTTTGATGTAAACCATCTTTACTTGGTAACATGTTTGCAATGTCACACCTAATTCAGTTTTAGCCAAAAATAAGCGAAATAACCATTTTATCCTCACAACTTTTTATTTTTTCATCTTCTTCCTCGCAAACCCTAACCCTAACCCTAACCCTACCCTCCTCATCCTCCTCTTCTCCCCATCTCCCCTCTCCCTCGTCCCTCAACTCCCCTCCCCCTCTCGTCCTCCCCTTCCTCTCGACCTCCAACTCTCCCATTCTTTTCCAAATAGGAACTAGGATTAGGGTTAGGGTTTTGGGGGAGGTGATGATCATGAGTTAGAGTTAGTATTTTGGAGGATGAAGCGGTCATGGGTTAGGATTTTGAGGGAGGTGGTGGCTATGGTTTAGGGTTTGTAGAAGAGGAGGATGATGATGCTAGGGTTAGGTTAGGATTTGTGAGGCAGAAAATGGGGGTAAAATGAGAATATCAGTTTTTCGTGGGTGAACAACAAAAAGTGTGATATTACAAACATGTTAGCAAATAAAGTTGGTTTACATAAAAAAAAATATATAAATCTGCTAAGTATCAATTTGGGTAAAAGTAAAGATGATTTTGATGTAAAAACCCTTTAATTTAAGGTAGAGATTTTTTGGACAAATTTTTAAAACTGACTCTTTTTCAAATTTATTAGCAAAAAAATCCTCTTTCAAAAGTATTTGCCAAAACTGACCTGATTTCAGCTATCAGGCTGAACCAGGTTGATTTTGACGAAAGAAGTTTCCAAACTTCATGGACATGAAGTCCCATGAAGTTTAGCAGCTTAATTAAATGATTGCTAAACTTCACAAAACTTCTAAAAATTGATGAAACTTCACGGGACTTGAAGTCCCGTGAAGTCCTGTGAAGTTTCAAAGTTTTTTTTCGTCAAAACCGACATAGTTTCAGCCCGATGGCATCGGGCTGAAACTATGTCTGTTTTGACAATTATTTTCAAATGAGATCGGTTTTTAGGAATATGTTTTTAAATAGGACTGTTTTGTAAATTTGTCTTTTTTTTCATTTATAGCACATAAGGCCCTCTGCACTCATTAAATAGGGCGTTATCTGTGAAGGTACAGGAGTCCTTCTGCAATCGTTAAAAACTACAGAGTGTTTCTGTAATTTCCTTTCGCCATGTTTTTCTTCTCTTCTATCTTCATGTCATCCAAGGCATCACCGATTCCCCAAAAACTTCATAACCGTTTAAACCCTAAAATTTCAAAATAAAATTAATAAAAAACACTAAACTCTCAACATCTCCTCAAATGGAACTTTTTTATTCAGCTCAATCTCGATCCCTTCTCCCCCAAATCATCCCCATACTCAAATCCCGCTCTCAATTGAAGAACCCTAAGAATTCCATCCAATTTCACTCACCAATTCCAACCAAGGGCCTCAATTCTACGGTTTTATCGATGCCTTTAAAGCGGCATTCTTTAGTTTTGACAGCCCGAGCTTCGAGAGGTGGATCGGAGATTTCCAGCAGTGTAGATGGTCGGATTTTGGTCGGATCGGCGATTACGGTGGCTTTGGCGGTTGCAAATCGCGTTCTTTACAAGCTCGCTCTTGTTCCCATGAGAAATTACCCTTTCTTTTTGGCCCAAGTCACCACATTTGGGTAAATTTTTTTTCCTTCGGATTTGAATAAAGGAACGATGTTTATACATGGGTTCTTCTCTTTATAATTGCATCCATCTACATATATATACTGTAGTATTTTAGTGATCAGAGTCATTAGTAAGTTATTCGTATTGATTTCTTACTGGCTGCTTAATCGGTAACCCGGAGGGTGTCCTCCTTATGTATTGGCTCAGTATTTTGATAGTTCATAGTTTATATAGTTTCCAGAGTTTTGGGTGCGTTTGTGTAGTATTTTTGTATGCATGAATAAAGCAAGGCAGCCCATCATACATGGGTTCTCCATTTGGCAATCAATTGGCATCCATCTACATATAGAGATGCGTAACAATTTCAGTTAAAGAAAATTGACATATAATATATATATATATATATATATATATATATAAAAAAAAAATATATATATATATATATATAATATCACTATATTTATTAATAGAGAAGAGAGAGAATGCAGAGAGAAGAGAGAGCAGAGAGAGTAGAGAGCAAAGAGAAATGGAGTAAACTTGGTTACATGAAGTTGCTCCAAGCAACTTGGTAGTGAATGTTGGTCTAATCTTGTCCGCTCACTATCAGCAATTGGAGTGGTGGAAGGGTGGTTTGAGGCTCTATCTTGAGTGTGATGTAGGGGCAAAGATTAAGCGCACATCACTAACAACAGTTGCTTTAATCAGTCAACTTGTAGCTTAAGGTTCTCGCATATTTTCTCATATATAATATATATTATATATATATATATTATATATATAGTATATTATAATCATATATTATATAATATTATAGTGATTTGAAATGTCGGTTGGCTTAAATTAACCAATGTAGGGTTTTCTCCTCCTCTATATATTGGTCAGTAATTCGATACGTGTGTTCATAGTTTCCATACTTTTGGCGCATGTCTTACTTATTAATTGTTTGCACATTCTTTAAAAAGAAATTTTTTTGCACATTTATTATGATAATTTTGTATATGGATATGTTGTAAGAAGAAACTAAATAGGAAGAGGAATGTCAATGTACACGAGAAAATTGATAATTAGAAGTCAGTAAAGCTTATGGTATTAGGTTTCAGTGGAATACTGTGCAGATAATGAGTTATCATGGTCTTACGTTACTATATTGGTTGTCAGATATCGTGCTGGGATTGTTACTAGAGAAATGGTGGCAGTTCCAAAATCTCGTTTCTTAGTTATTGGCCTTTTAGAAGCACTCGGGGTTGTTGCGGGGATGTCAGCTGGAGGTAATTTGATCAGCACATAGCTTAAAAACTTTCAAGTATCTGTTTAATGTTGGATATTGCTACTTTATTTTATGCATGTTAGTGTTTTTCTTTTTCCTCCTGATACACCAATTAGAAGAAGAAAGTAAATCACACTGTATCACATTAAATGTATTCAGACCTGAAGATATTTTCTTGAGATTATCACTCATTTATCTGGATGTCTAAAAGGGCATTGCCCAAAAGTAAAAAATTCTTCTAACCATACATTTTCCTATGCACTAATGATTGATATCCTTTGTTCATTTTTATATGCAGCTATGCTTCCAGGACCTGCTATACCTATATTATCTCAGGTACTTCTAATTTGATCTAGTTATTTTTGAATGCTGTTTTTTTTAAAAATAAAAGCTGTAATAGAATATGTTTGAAAATTTTTAATCTTCATTATTGGTGTACATGCAGTGGCGAAGTGAGGACCCATAGGGTAGTGGGGGCAAAAAATTATAAATAAAATTGTAATATTTATAAATCTACTAAAATAGATACATTCATTCCAATATCAAAAGAACAGACATTTTACAATTGTCTCGGATAAATGTTGGAATCTTTAGTAATCAACTCAATATCAATCGTTTCAAATACATTCTCCTCAATATATGTAATTAAAGAATCATTCAAAGCCTTCTTTTAATTTTTCCCTCAAAAGATGAAACCAACGGACTCACGAGTCATGATGATGGCAAATTAAGACGATTGAATAGATAGTAGGATTTCGGGTTTACTTGAAAGTTAAATGAGTCTTTTATCAAACGCAGGTGTGTGCGGGGGATTATTCGTTGGGACAATTTGGGGCCAAGTGGGATAATTGTTCCCAATGGGATAATTTTATCCCATTGGGACAATTTGAGTGGGACAAGGTAGGATAATCTAGGATAATGAGATAATTTAAACTTATGATTTGGACAAATTAAATAGGACGATTGATGGCGTAACACTTTATTTGAATATCATATTATATTATATGACAATTACTATGTATTCTAAGTATCTAAAATATATTATATTATAACTAATATAACATATTAATAATATAATATAATATATTACTATGTATTCTGAGTATCTAAAGTATACTACATTATAACTAATATGACATACTAATAATATAATATAATATAATACATTGTCATAGAATATTTTCTAATATATAAATTATTTGTTATTTTATTAAAATAATAAAAATAAATTAAAGTGTATCATATTGTAATAAATATAATATAATATTACAATATGATAAATTATAAATTATAATAATATTTGACAATATAGTTTAATAACTGATATAATATAAATATGTTATAATAAATTGTATTATAACAATTAAATATTATATCATATGATAATTACTATAATATATTCAAAATATCTAAAATATATTATATTATAATTAATATCACATACTAATAATAAGTATAGTATAAATAATAAAAAACATTATATTATACGATATAATATAATATAATGTATTGTATATTATATATATTAGATTCTATATTCTATGTTATATTATTATACAATATAATATAATATAATATAATATCTAGTAATATAATATAATTTAATAATATATTATAAATAAAAAAAATAAATTATGTTGCATTATATCATATAATAAGAAAATATAATGAAT